TGTTAAAAAAAGAAGAAAAAAAAAGTCCAAGTTACTCATTTCTGAAGAACAACTAATAGTCAAGTCTTCTATTTTTTATATTGATTTTAGAGCTCATTGGTTGCTTCTTGTATGTGTCCTGACTGGGAATCGCACTTGTAACCTTGACGTACTGGGACAACGCTCTGACCAACTGAGCTACCTGGCCAGGGCTATATCAGCTTTTTTAAATAGTGTAGATTTTGTAGTAATGGCCATATGTTCGTTTTACTTTATTTTTCTGTTACTACAATAGTTGAGGAAGAGTATAATCATGAAAAGCAGAAGACAGAGTAACCATATATTCATGCCTTAAACTTAAGAAAAAATGGTTGTACATTAATTAACCTAGGGCATAAAGAAAAAGTGCTCCTATTTCAACAGAAATTTATTCGTACACATGGGTATAGGATAGGATACGGAACGTTAGGATTGGATCTGTGAGTGAGCTAGCGCAAAAAATACTTCCTGATGTTCTTGATAAGAAAACCAAGGTGTTAAACTTTGTGTGTGAAGTTGTGCAGCTAGTTTGTAATAAACTTCAGTTCCTGTGTCTGTCTCTTATCCATCTGTGTATGTTCTTCAGGTGAGCTGGCAGCTCCTGACCTAGGGTCCCACAGGAGCAGTTTGTAGTCCCCACATAGTGAAAAAAATAATGATCAGTGCGAAGGGATAGACTGTATGTGCTTTATTCAGGCTCCTGCCTCATCTGAGCAAGATCATACCAGAAAGGGCTGGATTGGTTCGTTATTTTTGCTTTAGAAAGGGGAAGTTGGAAAACAGGGAAGAGAATGTTCCTTTCCAGGAGGCACTGGAGAGTCGGGGAGCTTGCAGTTAATGGAAACATTTTCACAGCACGAGGACATAGCGTGCTCTCATTGGTGCTCAGAAATATTTATTAAAAAATCTACTTAAGTTGGCAAGCAGTGTGAGGGGAGATAGTTTTTTTCTGCGATTAAAATGTTGGTCACTTGTTTTCTCAAAGAGCTTCTATAGCAAAAGGAAGCAAATGCTAATTGTCGGCAGTATCTGAGAGATGTTTGTAACATTAATCACAGTCTCAGTATTATTTTAGGCCCTTCAGATGGCATTTCTGGTCAGAGGATCTTATTGTTATTCCATACTGGAGACAATTAGGGAGAACTTTCCCTAAGATTCCCCCCCAATGTGATTATTATTATTGTTATTAATATAGAGAAAAAACTCAGTTTTAAGTGAATTCCATATCTGTGCCAAATCGATATCAAGTTTGATTTTTTAAAAATGTTTTTGTTGATTTCAGAGAGGAAGGGAGAGCGAGGGAGAGAGAGATAGAAACATCAATGATAATAGAGAATCATTGCTTGGCTGCTTCCTGCACGCCCCCTACTGGTGATCGAGCCTGCAACCCTGGCGTATGCCCTGACCAGGAATGGAACTGTGACCACCTGGTTCATGAGTTGACACTCAACCACTGAGACACATTGGCCGGGTGCAAATTAGCTTTTTGAACCTTTATATTCTTATTATATATCCTTCTTTTGCATTTTTAAAAAATACAGGATAAGTGACATGGCATTAATTCTAAACACTGATAAGTATGAAGAGTTGGAAAATAACAGGGTTGGAATAAAGCCCATTCAAGGGAGAAAAGATAAGTGGCTCTTCAATTCTAATGCTGTCTTGTTGATGAATAATCTGTGGCCTGAGTACAGATAGATTTTTCAGATGACTTCACTCTCAGTGGCACTTCTTTTACTTTCAGATTATTTTTCATATTTTGAACTTCCCAGTGAATTTACTATGTGTATGCATTTCCTTTCCTGTTTAATCATACTTGTCTGTGTTTTTCTGATTTGTAGGAAGAAAAAAAGAAGTTTGACAAAGAGACAGAGAAGAACTATAGCCTAATTGATAAACATTTGAATTTATCAGCCAAAAAGAAAGACTCACATTTACAAGAGGTATTATTTTTATTTTTCTATTCATTCATTTCTAAAATTGAATAAGCAGTGTATGTCTTTTTAAAAGTTTTATTAGGTTTATTGGGGGTGACAATGATTAATAAGATTATATAGGTTTCAAGTGTACAATTCTATAATACATCACCTGTATATTACAGTGTGTGTTCAGTACCCAGCCAAGCATCCTTCCGTCACCATATATGATTTGTATAGCTTTTTTTAAAAGGTGCTTTTATTTTAAAAACCTTAAAAAATATATTTTTATATTTTGTATTGATTTTAGAGAAAGAATCAGGGAGCAGGAGGGAGAGGGGGAGAGAGAGAAACAGAGAGAGAGAGAGAGAGAGAGAGAGAGAGAGTGCGAGAGAGCGAGAAAGACATCCATGTGAGGGAAAGGTAGATTGGCTGCTTCCTATACGCCCCCTGCTGGGGAATCTATCAATCTTTTGGTGCATATATCTTAAAAACTTTCCATGTAGGATATTAGAGATGGAAAAAAATGAACATGTACTTCCCTGAATGAAGGAAACAGAGTTTTTGTCGAACAAGACACAGAGTAACTAATACATCTTACAGTGATCGATTCAGTGTGGATTCATAGTATCACAATCTTTGGTTCTCAGTATATATTCTCAGGAACAGTTTTAAAGAGCATTACTGACGAACAATTGTTATTTTCAGGAATTGAGTTATTGAATGGCTTTCAAGATTTATTTTTTAAAAAAATACATTTTATTGATTTTTAACAGGGAGGAAGGGAGAGGAGTAGAGAGTTAGAAACATCGATGAGAGAGAAACATCCATCAGCTGCCTCCTGCACACTCTCCACTGGGGATGTGCCCGAAACCAAGGTACATGCCCTTGACTGGAATCGAACCTGGGACCCTTGAGTCCGCAGGCTGTTGCTCTATCCACTGAGCCAAACCGGTCAGGGCTCAAGATTTCTTGAAGAAATGAATTAAATTTAACAAGCTCACAGACCATTTTGCTCTTATGTGAAGGCAGCATTAATCTTATTTAATGCTGAAGATTCAGGAGGTTCCATTTCATTAGATAGAGAACATCTGTTTTCCTTTTGTTAATAGACTCATTGTTTTTTTGTTTTTTGAGGGAGTTGTACGTAAGGAGAAAGGAATTTATATCTTATCTCTCATTTTCTCTTTCTCTTTTCTAAATTTCCGGCCACTTTTCTCTCTCTCACGCACACTTGAATGCAAACTCAGTGGTTTTCAATTTGGAACATATGCTTTCCTTGAAAATAATGCTGTGTGCAGCTGTTAGGCTCTTGACTCATCCTATAAAAGTGTGATTTTTTTTTCATTTGTTCATTTTTAAACACATAAGGAATCCTGACATAATTTACCACTACAATATACACTTACTGAAGTAGCATGAAAAAGACACTCGCAACATTAACTCTAGTAAAACCTGGGTTATTTTTAAACAGCAGGATGTAGTTGCAAATTATGTGTGTTCCTTTTGACCTTACCCACATGTCACACTTCCTTTTGTCTCTAATACCTTTGACTGGCATTTGGGTGGCATTTGTCAGTTTGGAAAAGTGCTTTTATATCACTTAATCCGAACTACAATGCTGTATTAGGCAGGTAGGGCTCCCCTCATTCTCTACTTTGTTCCATGTTACATAGAAAACTACACCCCCCTACCCTCTGTCAATTTGGAAGTGACAGCTGTTGTTTTCATAGGTTTTCTTTATGCTGCCTCTCTTCTCCCCTTATCTCTGTTTTCTGGTATCCTGAAGGGATTTTCATGCCCCGAGTTAATTTCCATTTCCACTTCACTATCGAATTAGGTATCTCATTCTAAACATTGCTTAGACAAAATCTTTGGAATCATCCTTGGCCTTCTCCCTTACATCCACACCCATCCTGCCAGCCTCTGTCTTCTTTCATTGTAGAATATACTCAGAATCACCCTGGCCCAGCTGCTGGCATCTCTCAGCAGATTTCCGCAGAATCCTCTCAATTGGTCCCCCTGATTCTACCAATGTATTCCTACAGTTATTTTCTGTAGGACAAGCTGAGTGAACCTTCATATGGCTCCTCTTCTCCAAACCCTTCCCACAGCTCCCTCCCACCCCACCTGTGCTCACACCCACATGACTGCCAGGCTCTGGCTGGACTGGGACAGGTGGATTCTATGCACAGGGCCTTTGCATTTAGTCTCCTTCCTGCCTGGTATGTTTCTAACCCAGATCCACAGGCCTCACTCCTTCAAATACTTTTTCAAATACTCTCCATTCATTAAGGTTTCCTACAATTAATTTGCTGGAGTGGCTCACAGAACTCGGGGAATCATTTACTCCAGTTTACCAGTTTATCATAAAGGATAATGGAAAGGATGCAGATGAATAGCCAGATCAAGACATACGTAGGTGAGATCTGGAAGGGGGTCCCAAGTGCAGAAATTTCTGTCCCCATGAAACTGGGTTGTGCCTCTCCGGGCACCTGGATGCTTTCACCAGCTTGGAAGCTCGTCAGTTCTTATGTAAGAGTTTTATGGAGCTTAATCTGTAATGTCCCCCTCCCCATCCCCTTTCCTGTCCCAGAGGTGGTGGGTGGGTCTGAAAGTGTCACCCCTCTGATCACTGGGTCTTTCCATCACTGTCTAGGGCCCTCCACCCCCGCTCATGCCCTCATTAGCATAATCTCCGGTGTGCTCTCAAGGGGCTGCTAGGTATGGTCAAAGACACTCCCCTCACTCAGGAAATTTCATGGGTTTTAGGAGCGTTGTGCTAGGAATCTGAGACACAGACCAAATATAGTTATTATTGCACCACATATAGTGATTGCCTTTTAGACTTGAGTCAGGCCAAGGAGAGTGCTGCCAGGTATACATGGGTGTCCATGGCGTTGTTGTAAATGATGGGCTACTGACAATATCAGGGATACTGGTGATTTAATCCTGGGTTAACGTCCTGATTATTCATTAATTTGATTCATTAATTTGATTAATGAATAATCAGACCATTAGAGGGGCATGGATAGCATTTGACTGGCAATGCGAGGATGATTCCAGTATCACGAACAGCCGGGAGAGAGAATCAGCAAAAACATAAAAAAACAAACTTGGTAAATCTGACCCTGGTGTAATTTTTTGAAGGACATTTTTCAGTAACAGAAACATGAAGAATCTATTCATAGCTTCTCATATCTTTATTTGGTTAAATACTCAACAAAATTACATTGTTTTTGCTGGGAGTTGTGCCTGGTAACTGCTGGTGATGGATCTAGCAAACTCTAGTTTAATTAGAGGTATAAAAATATCATGATTCTGATGAGTGTGAGGCAGAAATTCTCATTTGGGCTTAGTAATACTTTTTGTATTTTAACATTATTTTGCTTAAAAATCATTTGGCAGGAAAAAATTATATGTTAATTTTTTTTCTCCTCAAAATTAAGAAAACATTGTTAGGGTAAAATCGACAAAAATTAAAATTTATGATTTTAACTATTTTTTAAAAATATATTTTATTGATTTTTCACAGAGAGGAAGGGAGAGGGATAGAGAATTAGAAACATCGATGAGAGAGAAACATCCATCAGCTGCCTCCTGCACACTCCCTACTGGGGATGTGCCCACAACCAAGATACATGCCCTTGACCAGAATCGAACCTGGGACCCTTGAGTTCGCAGGCCGATGCTCCATCCACTAAGCCAAACGGGTCAGGGCAATTTTAACAATTTCAAGAGTACAATTCAGTGGCATGAAGTTTATTCACATAGGCAACCATTACCATCCATGTTCAGAGCTTTTTGATCTTCCCAAATTAACATTCTGTACTCTTTCTGTACTAACTCCCCATTCTCTCCCAAACCCCTGGCAAGCTCCATTTTATTTTCTCTATCTTGTTTTTAAAAAAATATGTTTTTATTGATTTTTAGAGAGGAAGGGAGAGGGATAGATGGAAACATCGATGAGAAAGAAACATCATTGATCAGCTGCCTCCTGCACGCCTCCACTGGGGATCAAGCCTGCAACCTGGGCATGTGCCCCGACCGAATGGGGACCTGTTGGTTCCCTGGGTGCTCAACCACTGAGCCACACTGGCTGGGCTCTGTCTCTCTTAATTTGACTGTCTTAGGTACTCACGAGTACGTGTTTTGCATATCTTTTTGGAAAAATGTCTGGATGAATAATTTTAAAATTACAATTAGCCAAATTTGGGACTGTATTACACGTTGGCTTGTACGAATGGTTCCGGAATGCTTTCTCTGCTGTTGCTCTGTGGAACTGCGCTCCTCTTCCAATTCCTTTCTGCTTAGACTGAGTACCCTGGAACCTTCCTTTTTAAGAGCAGTGTCCTGACCATCTGGTGCCTGCTCATTCCCTGGGGACGAGGCACTGTGAGGATTCAGGAGCAGGACTTAACTAGGCATGGGCTTCCAAGCCTGATCCATTTGAGAGCCGGCTCTTGATATGGTGGCATGAGTGCCACTTCCTCACCTGCTGCCTTCCCTCATGGGTGCTG